CGGCTCGGCCGGCGCCCGCCTGGCGACCGAGCTGGCTGCGCCAGTGTCACCTTGCGGGGCCGCCTCGTGCAGAGGCCAGCTTGTAGACCCCGCCGAGTTGCACATCGGGGAAATCATAGGGTGATTTTAGATGTGACAACATCTGAAGAGTGTGTGCGTGCGTGTGTGTGCGCGCTGGGGTGAGTTCTTAAGACACGAGCTGCTTAGGGCTGGAAACGTACATCTCAGATTCCCCACAGGTTGAGAATCTGCGGAAACTCCTCAGATTCTGCACCGCGCAGACCAAGAGCAAATTGGGCCACCCCACGGCGGGAGAGTTACGGTCCCCGCGAGCGAGGCAGCGCCCCCCAGCGGCCGGGAGGGTGGAGCCTGTGCGCTCCCGAGCTCCTTGCTCTGGTCGCGTTTTCTAAGAACTCACTTTGGCCCCTCTGAGTACTTTCTTGTGATTGAGCACCCGCCTGCCTTATCAGCCTCTCCACTAATTGCTTTAACAGGACACGTTAGTGCCCGAGCCCGCTTTTAAATAGCACACTTGAAATCCCGGTTCCGTGCCTACGCTTTCTCCCTGAAGATTAGCAGGCCCTGCTCGTCCCCGGTTTTGAAACAGAGGTTGCTCATTTCGCAGTGTATTTTTTAGAGTAACCCAGGGTACTTTTGCTGTACGAAGACTCTTCCCTTTAGTTTTATCTGATGTTCTAACTTAATTCCCTTTTTATTCAACCCCCCTCCCCACANGTATTTTTTAGAGTAACCCAGGGTACTTTTGCTGTACGAAGACTCTTCCCTTTAGTTTTATCTGATGTTCTAACTTAATTCCCTTTTTATTCAACCCCCCTCCCCCCCCACACACACACACACACACACACACACTCCAGGTACCTTATGATAAATTTAAAACATCCCAAAAGAATCCACGCTAGTGCTGTCATCAGTGAAAGAGAGAGAAGACGCAGAAGGCAAGGAAACCGAGTCAGCCAACCCTTTCTCTGAACAGGTTCCCGCGCCCAGGTTATTTTCAAAGCTGCTCTGGGTACCCAGGGGAGGCACACACTTTTTAGTCTCCCAGCCCCAGAGAAAAGCCTGAGAGGTGTTGGTGTGAAGAATGAATCAATGTAACGTGCACACTCTGGCTGTGTCACATGAGTGAGTGTCTCCTGCGTGTTTTCAGTGACATGTTCATGGTGCCCAAGTCCTGGTGTATCAGGGGCTGGGTGACCTAGGACAGTCCCAGGAGGGGTCTGGGATGGATGGCCTCTACCAGCTGTTCCATTTTGACATTCAAGAGTGCGTGTGATGTTTGAGATGTCAGCGACTATGGGGCTGTGTTAATGACAATGGGGCTAAGTGGTTATTTCAGTTGGGCATGGTCTTTGGGTTTCTGCCCATAGTGACCCCAAGCTCACTGTCGCCACTCTCTCTCCAGACCCTCTAAACCCTCCCACTTGGGGGGAGGGGGTGTCTCTCTTGGCCTCTGAAGAACCCATAGTGGGGGGTATTTGTTATTTTTTGCCCCAAAGCATCATCTTCCCTCCCTGGTACACAGGCCCCGTATACCAGGGAGAAACCAAGATAAAACCCCTACATTTTTCAGTTAACGGATCGAAAGCAAAAGAGAAATTCAGAGCAAAACGTTACAAACGGTGAGGAGCTAAGGGCTTTCTGAGGGGGATGCCACCGCCCAGGGGGATGCCACTGCCCGGGATGAGCAGTCTGCCCACCTGGGCCCCGTCTGTTGTTAGAATCTGGATGAGTTTACCTTTCGGCCTAGGCTCTTGGGGCTGTCACGTGGCTACCCTCGGACTGCTAAAGGCTCATTCGGGAGTAAAGAGAGGACGACTAGACCCTCAGAGGCCTCTTTCTTGTTGGAGGGCAGCCGCGTGATTTCACCTCTGGGTTAATTCTTTCTTCAAAAGACCTTGACAGTGTAGATAGACCTGCTGAGTCAGGGTCTGCAGGTGGGGCCCGGGGGTCCGCGTTGAACCAGCACCGGGTAGATTCAGATGAACCAAACTAGGAGACCCCGCCTGGGGGAGGCAGTAAGTGCCACTGGCACCCGTGAGACTCTCCCAAGGACTAACCAGCTTGGGTGTCAGCCCCTCTTCATCTGTAAACGAAAGTGGAGGAGTCCCTGTGCCCTGGGGTTACGTGCAAGTTCATGGATGTCATTTACATCACGTGCTCCGCACTGTGCCCGGCACAGAGGAGGTGGGGGGGTAGGTTGGTAGGTGGGTAGAGACAGATGATAGATGATTGATTGATAGAGATAGATAGATAGATAGATAGATAGATAGATAGAGATAGATAGATAGATAGATAGATAGATAGATAGATAGATAGATAGATAGATAGATAGACAGATGATAGATAGAGTTGATAGATGATTCATAGACAGTAGATGATAAACAGAAGGACAGACAGATTATAGACAACAGACTGATGGACAGATAGATGATAGAGGGACAGACTGACAGGTTTGGCAGCTGCTGCTGCTTCCTCTTCCAAGGCTTCCGTTCAAGCTCAGTAGCTTAAGGACCCAGCTAATAGCCTGTGGCTGCTTGATTCAGTCCCAGCGAGCAGGCACGGCCTTAGCAGCCCGGCTCCTCGCGAGGAGGTTGCCGACGGGCTGGGCCAGGGGAAGGCAGCCCTCTGCAGTGGCACCGGTGCTGACGGCTGTCCCCAGCAGGCAGGACGTAGGTCCTGGTGGCGGCACTCCCTTCCCCGCCCCCTGTCCCTTGGATCCTGGGGTACAGTCTGGGCTCCCTGGGCTCGTGCACAGGGCGTGCGTCCTGGAGCTCAGCCTCCTCCTCCTGAGCCTCCTCTCCCCCCTTTTCCCCCCCGGGCACTCGTGATGAGAGAGGGACACTTTCATGGACCGACGTGCCAGCATCGCTCTGTCGAGGTGCCTTTTTCGATCCTGTCAGCTCCCGAGGTTTTGGCAGAGCCGGTCTGGACGGAGAACCAAAAATAACTCCCCGACTCAGGCGGGCGGCCTCCAGCCCCGGGCGGAGCACTGGGCCCCGGGCGCCGGCCGCCTCCCGCCCGCCCCCATCTGAGGTGTCAAGGCTCCTGGGGGCGCTGGGAGAGGAGGGAGAAGGGGGCCTGGCAGGCGCGGAGAGGGGCTGGCACTGCTGCAGGTCACAGCTGGACCCGCCACCTGTGTCCCAAAGTGGCCGGCTCCCCTTCCGAGCAGCCACAGACCCGAAGGTCCCGCACGGGCGGGACCGGGCAGGACGCAGTGCTGCTGTCCACGGCAGCCCCTGACCTGGACTTGGCTGAGGTGAACCCCATTTTCTCCACACCCTCAGCCTGGACTCGCGATAATGATAACCGTGCGGCCTCCGCCCGGAGGGGTTCCGCGCCAGGCGTGCGGCGGGCTCTCCATTGCTTCCCTGCTGCAACCCGCCGCCACCCTCGGAGGCGGGTGTCGTCACTGCAGACAAGGGCGCCGTCCCGACGCCACCCCGCCTCCGGTCCCCTCTACCGGGACAGATGGTGAAGCAATGGACTGGCGAGGACTTTCTGAGAGGAATGATTTCACCTCTAAGTACCTGAGAGATGAGTCATTCACTCACTCATTCACTCACTCATTCACTCACTCATTCATTCATTCATTCATTCATTCATTTTGGACCACTCCCAGGCTGAGTCTTGGGGAGACAGATGAGAGCAACAAGTTTCTTGCCTGTAGCAGTGAGACCCACACGCTCTTGTCTGTGGCCCCAGGAAACGTGTGGTGACCAGCGCAGGTCAGTGAGGACGGATGGTGGGGCTCGGAGGGCGAGGTCTCTGGAAGAGGCACCGGTTTGGGTCCAGCCACAGAAGACAGGTGGGAAGGGGGGTGGCATTCCAGGTGGAGGAACAGCTAGAGCAACGGTGTGGGGGCGGGAAGATGGGCCCCAGGCAAGGCCTCTGAGCTGAGCTGGGGTGCCGGCCCCCCATCTCTGTGTCAGAGTGTGATGCAAAGGACAGAGTATGGCCTCCTGGTCTCCTTCAGCTGGGCCTGGAGGGAGGGAGGGTGGTACAGAGAACACATGTCCCCACAGCAAGGCCACCCACCTCCCACCTCGACGGGGAGAACTCACTCCTAGGGCTCAGGAACACGCTGCCCTGGGGGCGGGCTGAGCAAGACTTAAGCGGCTGTGTGCATGGGACACATGGGGTTTTGCATGGCATGGTGGCTGCCGGGGCCTCGGGTGCAGCCTGGGAGACCCACACGGGCTGTGGGAAGGGCAGGGGCTGAGTCAGGAATGCTGGGTTCCAGCCGCAGCAGTGCCCATGTGATGGTGTGGCCCTGAGAATGTCCCGCCTCGTCTCCAGCCTCCATCTGTGAAATGGGAGGACCCCGAGGTCACGTCCAAGGCCCACTCCATCCCAGTGCTCCCTGATCCGTCAGTGCCCCCCGAGCCCCAGCTCTCCGGCCTCTGGCTCTTCCTCCAGGCAGGAGAGATGTTCACCATCCAGGGAAAGCTCAAAGGTTGTCCTGTGGGAAGGCAGCCGGCCCGGCCCATGGTCTGGTTTTGCCCAACAGAAGGGACGAGAGTAGGGAGCTGTAGTGAAGGGCCCTGTTCTTGCCTCATGAACCCAATGGTGGCTCACAGTGTCCTGCATGGAGCCTCACCACCTGCCAGCAGCATGCCGGGCGGGTCCAGTGCATTCTCTCCGGCAGCTTTAGGAGGCTGAGCTCTGCTGTCCCCATTTCCCAGAGGAGAAAACCAAGTCTTGGCAGGCTAACTGCCTCCCACCCAGAGGTGCTGCTCCAAGCACAGCCCACAGCCCCAGGGGGAGGGAGGGAGGCCCAGCGGGAGGGCTGCCTCTCCCTCCCCCGCTACCCTGGCCTCAGATGGTCTCTGTCCTGGGGAGGGGTGGCATCTCTGGCCCTTGGCGCTAGGGTGTCACCAGGAAGAGTCAAAGTGTGAGCCTCTGTCTAGTATGGTTCCCAGACTGGGAGGCGGCGGGGACCCTGGCCGTCGGGTCGGCCAGGACTCACTCTCCTGCGCTCTGGCTCTCTTCCAGCGTGCGGCAAGCTGACCGGCATAAGTGACCCTGTGACCATCAAGACCTCTGGCTCGAGGTTCGGGTCCTGGATGACGGACCCTCTAGCCCCAGAAGGTGATAACAGGGTAAGTGCCCCTTCGTTGGGCCTGGCTCTGGGGGTCGTTCGGACAAGGGTGCTCTTATAGGATTGGGTGGTCTCCGGCCCTCACGCAGATGCTAATGTGCCCACCTACCTGGAAAAGCACGCCAGGGCCTATGAACTGAGTGGAGCTTGGTGCCCCGAGTGGGTGTCACAGACCAAGGGCCAGAAATGAGGATGATGGCAGCCGTGAGGAAGCGGGGTCTTGGTAGGGCCCTCCCTAGGCGTGGGCCCCTGGGGCTGGGTGGACACACGGAGTCTGAAACCTTTCAGACAGTCTCACCCACCTCTGGCCCGGGAGGAGAGTCCATTAGGCCTTTCTTGTTTAATGACATCTCATTTGTATTTCATGTGCTCCTCCTTTCATGGCTGATGGAAACCGTTCCTTTTGATTTAGGAAAGAGGCCAAGTTCTTTTTCCTAGACTCCCCACCCCACCTCACCCTGGGGGTAAAAATTCAAAAAAAAGAAAGAAACAAGCGCCGCATTTGTCTTGATCAGGGCCTGGGGTCTGTTGGAGCCCCTTTGGGAAGCGGGGAGACAGGGCTGGTGGGCTGAGAGCTGGGGACGTCTGGCCATCGGCCACTGGGCACTATGGCATTTTGGAGCCTTCCTTCAATGGAAGGTTCCGCCCAAGTTCTCGGTGGAGGAGAGAAGCTCTTTGGGTTTCACTGTCCTTTCCTGTCCACCAGCCTGACCGCTGTCACCCACATCCAACAGTGGGAGTGTTGATCAGCCCCTTTCCTTCAGCTGCTGGTGGGACAGTTAGAAAATAAACACTTAAAAGAAACATCTCTTCCTCTGGGCCGGATGGAGAAAGGGGCTGAGAAATCTGAGATCCAGACGCTGCTCAGATGGGTCATGGTCCCTCTCTCCTGAGATTTCCAACCTCTGGACGCCCTTCCCCATTTGGACATTTAGAAGGCGTGACCTCGTGTATTTAAAACGTGAAGTGGCACCTGCCCTTCTGGCACACGTCCGCCTTCTGGGGAAGACAGATGTGGGGACAAGGACTGGGAGGAGACCCCCGTGTCACCGGGCAGGGGAGCAGCATCTTCCTAGATGCTCATCCCAGCGTTTCCCAGAGAAAAGCTCTGCGGGGGCCGGCGGCCCACCCCGGAAACGATGGGGGCTGGGCGTTTCGGGGGAAGGTGGTTGTTTTATTTATTTTCTGCGTCGTGACAGATAGCTGGTGCTTACAGATTTTCTAACAATTTCATTGGCTAATTGTTACCCCGGCTGTTTCATTTTCCACATCCACCTGGAAAACCCACCTCTGTTCCGTGTGTGGTTAGGGAGGCGCCCTTGCCAGAGATGCTGGTGACGGTGGTGAAGCGGAGGTAAAGCCGACGACGGCAGATGCCGAGGGCTGGGGGCTCTGTGCCGGCTCTGCCGAAGCACGTTGTGTATGTCGTGACCCCACCGGCACCGGCGAGAGTAACGGCGCCCACACGCAGCGCATGCGGGCCCTCAGCTGGGCACACTGCGGCCTGTCTGGGGCCGGTCCTCCAGCGACCCCGCCTCGTAGAGATCACGGTCATCTCCACGGAGCTGATGAGAAAGCCCAAGTCCGGGAGGGTCGCGTGCCTTACCCTGGTTCCAGGAAAAGCTGGCCGCTGGTCGTAATAACAGATGTCTACGTCGGCACTGGCGTCGCAAGCTGAGCCTCCAGATACCACCCCCTACAAGTGCCCTGTCCCCACCTCTTGCCTGCAACCTGCCCACGCCTCCCCCACACACCCGCCAGCCCAGGCAGACCTGGTGGGATTCGGGAGCTGGAAGCACGTCTGGCACTGGATAGGCCTGTCCCCTGGCTCGCTACCCGGGCGGTGTGGCTCAGCGCTCAGCATCTGTGCTCAGACACCAAGCACGGGCTCCGGAGCCCGCCGCGTCCCTCCCGCACACCGCGAGGTGGTGATGGATGTGTTTGATAATTAGGCATCTATTTTCTGCTTGATGACTTGCTCACCCCCCAGGAAAGGCGGCCTGGTGATGGACAGAGGGCGGGAGGAGAGCTGCTCTGGGCGGGAGGAGGGAGCTGGGCTGGCAGGGCCGCCGGGGCCCGCTCGGAGCGCTTGGGCAGTTGGCAAGCCCGGCTCGGGCCATTTTGAGCCATGAGCTCAGTGCAATGGCTCCAACTCCCAGCCGGATAAGTGACAGGTCCCTGGGTCCTGCCATTGATCTGGAAGAGACTTTTGTTTGATCTTTTCCATTCTCCCCTCCAGTTTTGATTGCACACACGCAGGAGACCAATAGCTCGCTTGGGAAAAAGAACAAAATCAATGCCA